CCCCCCCCCCCCCCGTGTGAAATGACGGATATACCCTCAATAGTAACAACATGAACCGGAACTCTTTTTTAGTTCTGAAAAAATGCAAAGAGACAGAACTTGTCTGAAACAACAAGGCTTCGGATTTAATGGTACATAGGCTGAAAGATTCGAACCATATATGAGGTTGAAATCCTCTTCACGAGCCATATACGAAGAACTAGCTATACACATCTTGCTCATTGTAATCAGATGCTCAAGAAAGTTATTGAAGTCGAAGAACCGAATCATAAACCAAAGATAAAACAGATCATCACCATTGATGATCGAATCCCCTTCGCCATCTCGCATCGTCTCGTTTGTTTCACGAACGTGACAACACTCCTTTTGAACTGCAATCACCACCATACCGTATAATACGTTTCAGACATTTTTTTTTTGTTTTCTCAGAAGAAAAAAAACTTCTTCACAGGCAAAACAGTAATCTCAGTGAGAATCTTCAGGACCCATGAAGGAATATGTCAGTGCCTCAAAACTATCTATGTTTTCATCATAAGTTCAAGCAAATTGAATGATGATGCTTGCAACCATATAAGGTAATTTGATGCATGTGCATATATGTGTTTATGTGTATGGGAGTGAGGTCAAACCTCGGGATTGTCCCACGGCGGCGTGGATCGTATTCCGTTGCTTGCCGAAGAGCCCTAGCAAAGGCCTTAAAGGTTGCCTCTATTATGTGGTGAGAGTTTTTACCTGCAAGCTGGTGTAATGAAAACAATTCGAACATCCGTAAACATTGTGTTAGTTTATAGAAATGTATGCTTTATAAAGATAGGAATCGTATTATAATACCTGTCGGATGTGAAGCGTCATGCCGGAAGTATTCACCAATGACTGGAAGAAATGCTCCACCAACTGCATGTAGAGGAAAGTTGCCGACTTTTTATCATCGAATCAACGATTCAAAAAGAACAATGAATAGCAAAGGTACCTGAGTGTCATAAGTTCCAACTCTCTCGGTTGGAATGTCGAGGTTGAAACCTAGATATGGCCGACCAGATAGATCCTGTGAAAACCCAGTCCACATCGTAAATGAAATTGAAACGTGAACAAAAGGGTTAATCCATTTCCAAATCCGATCACAAAATCCCGGGTCTGAAAGACATTACCAGGGAAACATGTATCAGCGCTTCGTCAAGAGGAGCAGTAAAATCACCAAATCGGTTAATCCCTTTACGATCACCGAGTGCCTCTAACAGAGCCTGAAAAACAAAACAAAGTAATCTCTCTATCAAAATCAAGGAAAGAGACAGAATCTTTCATATGAAGATTCGAGATCGTATATAGATAGCAGAGAGTAAGAAGGTCGAGATGAAAATAGAAAAATTGGATTACCGTTCCAATGGAAAGGGCAACATCTTCATTTGTGTGATGATCATCGATGTGGATGTCACCTTTAGCCCTTACGTGCACATCAAACAAGCCATGCGAAGCAAGTTGCTAACGGAGAAGATTGAAAACGGAGAGATTTATAAGCGTATCGAAATCGAAAAACTGACAAGAAACATGAAAGATCCATGCTAACAATAGATTCATATGCATTTCACCAACAAGTAAAAACTTTCTTCATGTTCTACCACAAGTAATTCAGACAGTGAAACCAAGCTTCTTTCTTCAGCGTGGAAATCGAACAAGCTTCTTTCATTACTTTCAGAGCATCAATCAACTTCCATAACAGATTCATAATCAGCAATTTGGGGTGAAAACAGAACAAAGATAAACGCTTACATCTAACATATGATCGAGGAAAGGAATTCCAGTGGAGCTGTCTGCAACTCCAGTTCCATCCAAGTTTATCTTCACCGACACATTCGTCTCTTTCGTCTCTCTCCTCACTTCCCCGATTCGAGCTGACCATCACACAACCCAAGGTGAAAACTTTTTACCTTTTGTAACAAAAACTCAACCATTCTTTTCTACCCTCGAATCTTCCAGACATACCAGGATCAACAGGAGAAGAAGATGTCGCCGGAGCACCATTTTTTCCGGGGGCAGAAGCGCAAGCGAGAGATTGAAGAGGCAGGGATTGAGGTTCCATCCGCAAGAATTGAGGAGGAGAAGAAAAAGAAGAAGAAGAAGAAGAAGAAACGATCGATCCTCTCCGATGAATTGAAACCCTAAAACAAGGACGAAGTTTGAGTAGCTGACCGGCGGCGGCGGAGTGGCTGAGGATGCCCGATGCAGACACAGACGACGAGAGCTTCATTTTTGTTGTCGACAAAGAGAGAGCACTGCGTTTGACCAATGCCTACAATTCTCAAGCCCACCAAACAAAACGACGTCGTTATCCGGTCCGGTTCCCACTGACAAACCGGAGTCAAGTTGAACCAGGGAAAACCGGTTAAAACCGGGAAACCCGGTTAGCTTAGAGCCAATCTCCTCTGCCCCCGCCGGCGACTGGTAAATAAGCGGCGGAGGAAATGTTACAGAAGCTTTTTCATTTTTTTAAGTAAAAGCTTTTTATTTGCATGACATCAACATATATAATATTTTCTTAACAAAAATTCGACCCACCACAAGGGACAAACCCAAGACTAGGAAGAATCATAGGGACATTGAGGCACATATACAAATCGGATATATGTATATGTATATAGACATTATGAACATACTCGATTTCCAGTCATTCATTGACAAGAGAGTTTACACACCAAAATACTCAGGATCTCTCTCTCTCTCTCATCCCAAAAACCGATTCTTTTATCTTTCTTCGCCTAGTCTTTCACTACTGTCTTGCCGGAGAAATCGAACCACCGCCGGAGTTAGGACAATACAGATCTCGATCTTCCTTTGCGGTGACTGTGTCCACCGGAGAACGGATAATGTGGTCCAGAAACGCCATGTCGCAGTTCCTGTGTGGCGGGGACTCGACCAACTCCCTTCTTCTCGGAGAATCTGATGATGTTCCATAACCAGAGCCGACACCGTTCTCGACTCGATCCATTGCAGCCGCCATTGAAGGTTTGTACTCAGTCTCTCCTCTGTTCGGACATATATCGTCGGGCCATGTGGGCAATCCTCCCAAAACTGGAACATCATCTCGAGAAGCTTTATTCGAATCCACACAGTTCCGGCGATCAACTGCAGAATCTGATACGGGTCTATCTTCAGAAGGCGATGTGCTTGGACTCGAAGAAGAGCTCGCTATACGTTCCATGAGCCGGGAACCGGGTCTCAAAACATCAACTTCAGTTGTTTTTATGGCGGAATCCATGTCCTCGTTCTGACAATCTTCTCGACCGATCCCACAAAGCTCCCTCTTGATTTCAATGTCTTTAGCAAAAGATGAAACAAGAAGCGAGAGATCAGAGAAGGATGAGGAAACCAAAAAAAAAAGCCAGCCAGGAAAAGAAAATAAGCTAAATTGGCTTTAAAAAAACCTGTGTCAGAAGCAGAATCTTCTCCGGCGTGTCTGTGTCCGAACAGATCCTTCTGTAACATACCAATGCCAGGAAACACCAAAAGATTCATGGACCTTATTTCTTTCTTCAGCAAATCATCCACAGGACAAAAACCAAATTTATCAATCCAAGCATGGGTAAACTCTGCAGTTGCAGGAATAACCAGTATCTCGATCTCGAGACGTTGAAGAGTCTTCATATCAAGATAAGAAAAGAATCTGAATCAGTAGATTTTATCGCAAGAATCGGAAAACAATTTCAAAACACAGCCATGAGCTTACAGATTCTATTGCATTGAAAAGCCGACGGCACATCCCTTGGCATCTATAGACAGGTCGAGTCCCGATAAAGGGCATCTCTGCTAGCCGATCCCCACGAAACCTGAATAGAATGGAAAGCATTAATAAAAGGCGCAAAATCCAGGATATGTCTAGATAAGAAAAACATAAACAAGTAATGAGCACGATTCACAGTTGTGTCATAAGACGTTGTTGCAAGATAACATCTATAACGAGACAGAGGATGTTCTGAGACAGAACCTGATAGATGCTGAAGCAATTATTTCGTCGTCTCTCTCAAGGATAGCACTGTAGAAGCCACCGAAATTAAGCCGGTTGAAGTTTGACCTTTGAAAAGGAAGGTATAAGCAAAAAGTACCAACGTCAAGAATTGTCCAGAGATTGCTTCTGCATCTGGACGAGTAAAAATATCGAAACAGGGACATAGATAAAATTGTTGCGGAGTATTAGCAAGCTTACCCACAATTGTAAAGGACATTGCGTATTATATTCACCCCACTCCTCCGATCAATGACGGGCAAAAAGCATTCATCCATGACTGTCAGAGCTACGGCAAGTTTGGAGTTGTTTTCTACAGTCCGATGCTGGTCAAGTACCACAGAATCCGAATCTATCTCTGTCCTATGAACTAGAGACCATGAAAATCCAGCTTCTAGTTCGCGTTTGATACCAACACACTTTTGTAAACCTTCAAAGAGCTGCAAAAACAAGCAGTTAATTTAACTTAAACGGAATGCTACTTTTACAGAGATAACAGATAGAACGTTGTGTTGCGATTACAGAGTCAAACAGCATTTCATAGTTCTCTCGAGTCCAAAGATCTTAGCTCTACCCGTCTAGAAGGCATGAAACGTTAGCAACTCATACGTCATACCAGGGGTCAAATTGCAAATGTTGATGTGTAGTGAAAAAAAAGGAGGTACTAACAAGACGGATGCTCTCAATATGAATTGTTAAACTAACAAGTCACAGCATACAAATTTTGACAATGGTTTTTCTCCACCACAGTTTGAGATTCTAAATAAACACAAGAATGTGTCTGACATCAACAGCAGGCAGTAAAATATGAGTTACCCACCCAAAATTGTTTTAAAAGCCTTTGAAATATCAGCTGTCTGATAGCTACCTCAAAGGGCATTTACCAATTGAATCAACAAATATAGCGATCGAAGGAAAATACCTCTTTGCACTCCTTCCCACAAAATGCGAAGCCTGATTCAGTACCAGCAGTTGGAGTAGCATTCACCTCCTGCATGCATGACTTGTGATCTAGGAAGGGAAATCCTAAACTCAATTAGAATCTATGAGCAATATTAAGAGGAAGCAAAAGTGAAATATTCAATCGTTGAAAGTAGTAGATGAAATACATTTTTTCTCACACATCTTGCAGGTAAGTAATTTGCATAGACTTGCATCCACAGTCGGAGTAGTGTCTCTGACAACTGCCCTACAGAATTTGCATGTACAATTTGGGCAATGCCAATCACCATGAGGAAACATCTGTAATTTAACCTCAAAAAGATTCAATAAGGCATCAGATGGTCCTAAAACAACCCTGATATAGTTAAAAGTCAAAGATACAGATACTTCAGTTCAATAGAGTTTCGTAAATGAGTTGTATCAAATCTATTCTCTAAGTCCTAAACAAAACATATTGTTTGGAACAACTTTTTAGTATAACAAGACTTAACTAATTGCTCCATTTTGCAATGACTCTACAAAAATAATCCAAAAAAAAACATTAACTGAACTCTACCAGCATACCTGAATGTCCAGACATCTCTGGTGGAATGTTGAGGGACAACCATCACAACAGATTAAATCACCTCCATCTCCACAAATACCACAAGCATCGTCATTTGGGTCATCGGCATTTACATCAACAGAGCAGAAACCGATGTGCCCAACATCCCTTTGCCTATCCCACGCATCTATTTGGCATTGAAAAAGAGAAACCCCGGAATCTAAATACATGTTCTGAAATGGCAAGGGCAATTTGCTTCCAGCATGGATCTCAAACTTCGAAACTGAAAGTAGTTTACGGCAACAACCACATTGAATACCATCCCCTGTTATCCATCCCTCAAGCATTGCTCGTGACTGTTGGCGGTTCATGTTCATGACCTTTTCGCTCAACTGAACTGTTCCGCTATCAATCAGCCATGCCAGCACTGTCCGTTTTCCAGAGAAAGGTACAAAGCCATCAGATTCTGAATTGTTTTCCTTAGTTGAACATCTTACCGACAATGTGCTTCTACCAAATTTGCCACTGTTGCCTCCATCTATATGATGAGAGAAGGAACCAGCAGATTTTTCTGTTTGGTGAGGCAAATCGCTATCACTTTTGTACTTCATACCTGTTAAACCAGCTTCATGATTGATCTCATTCCTCATCGACATAGCACCCATCCCTAGGGAGGAGCTTAGTTTCTCTATATGAAAATATCTGCCTTCATTTCCTGTATCATGTCTGACAGTAGAGAATTTTCTGGAAACTGAGTTTTTTTCATCACTATCACTGCCACCTTGTTGCCGTCTTTTCAAATCTTTTTCAACCTTCCTTTTAGTTTTGCGCGTTAACTGACTGAGTATCTCATCAGAGATGAGAGACAACTTAGAACTGTCCCGACTAGGCTTGGCCTCAGTTTCCCCATTATTTAATTGCTTCAGAAGCGCTTCATAGGCCTTGATAATAGACCAATATGCTGTTCCTGTTGGGCTTATATAAACTGCATCTACGTAGTCCCTATTCCTTCTGGGTCTATGGTCAATGGTCCACCCTGCTTCCAGTAACATTCCCCTAATTCGCTCACGTAATCGTTGTTTTTCTGTGCCAGAACCACGCCTAACTTTTCCATCTTTGATTTTTGGAGGCGCTAACTCTTCAGGTGGAATCTTTTCTCCTCCAGCAATCAACATCCGGGTATGTGTATGAGCTTTAATAGTCTTCTTCTGTGGCCTTGCCAACATATCACGATCTTCTGAATCTTGTTGGTCCAGGCCCTTGTTTTTCATGGCCAAGGTCGTGCGCGTTTTTGACCCATTTGATTGTGTCCTGACACATGGATGCGGTTTCACAAGATTTTCGGCTTTTAAAGTGGCTGGCGACTGGATGGCAACACGTATTTTACCCGTATCTTGGACTTTTGAACCATTTTTTGTTTCTTTAGCTTCCGCATTAGCGAAGTTTCTGAGTAATACCCCACTCATCTTATTCTTCTTGTTTATCATCACCTTCAGAACACCGTTTTTCCCCTGAACTCTAATAGGTTCATCAAAATCTGTCTCACCCTTGTACTTTGTCCGCAACAACGATGCATGAATTTCACTTTCATCTGCACTCACCTTAAACCTGTTTCTATAACCCTGATCAGCAAAATTTACAGCCCCTAACCCATCAAAGTATGACTTCCTTCTCTTCTCAAGAACAAAATCTCTACTTGAACCAATTCCGTATTTCCTGCCAATGCCAAATTGAGCAAACCCCAAATATGCTTTCCTACCAATATCAACTCCACTGCTGTCAAACGACCTCCTCGCTCTCATCGTCATCAATTTGTCTTCATCCTTCTCGTCATTATCATACTCCACTTCATCTAATCTATTTCTCTTCCTCTCCCTCCATTCGCCGCTGCTGTTTCCCACAAAGCAATCCCCTTTACGGTCAACAAGCTCTGCACATTCCCTTTTTCCATCAAAACGACCCTCTCCTGCATTTAACCTATCAAAACCATTACAATGGCGGTGAATCGTTTGGTGAACAGTGTTACTACAAGGTACCATATTTTCACCGCTAGACCCAGAACCAGAATCACTCATAACCATCCTGGACCTCTTATTTTCCAACAACGAGTCATAAACCGGGCGATTCCCAGAAGATGAAGAAATCCCACCAATCCTGTCGCCCTTCTTCTTCACAATCAAACAACCCGAAGAGCTCCGTTTCTTTATCACTACCCCTGAAGGTTCACCAGATCTCCTGCCCCCTCCTTCCATGGTTTACACAAACTAAGCCACCAAATCCGATTAAAACCCTAATTTTCCTCCATCTCATCCGGGATATCGGAATGTAATTAACAAAAACTGCGAACCAAAAGGACAGGAGAATATTAACAACCCTAGGAACAACAGATCTAGACCAAAGCCAAACCGATCCCCCAATTTATCAATCCATGAGAATCGAAGCCTGACATTGTTGGATCACCACGAACAGGACAATAACAGTAACCTCGTCAGATTGCTCCGCCGATGTAACAGGGGATTATCCCGTCGGCGGACGCTGACGCAACTTTCCGGCCACCAACACGAGGATATGAGAAATGGAGAGAGAGAGTGAGACAGAGAGATGTCACACAGCCCAAAATATATTTCCACTGTAAAAACTGCCTTTTTGTCAAATACATTGTTCTTAATATTATTGGTTTTTTACCCTGCCTTTATTGTTCTCTTTTACGCTTTGATTTCATCGACAGTCACCTTACTGGGGGACCCACGGCGCCAGAATATGTCAACGTGGAATTTCAGACCATTTCCGAAAATAATACGTGACGTGGCAAAATCTCACGAGAATATGTGGTTCGAAATTGCATCATCGTCACGTCTCGTCTCGTCTCGTGCCCCGAGTTGTCTAATTCGTCTACAGTCGTACAGTCCGACAGACCCACACGATAGAATTCGTCGAACCAATCTATGCACATGTCCGGTTAAGGAAACCGGAAATTACACGTGGCAATGTCAGTTCCAAACGAAGCCCAATATGGGCCAACCAAGCAGACCCATAAAAACAAGACCCGGTTTAGCAATGGTACGGATCACAAGAAAACCAGTTTCAGTTTTCTTAACCGGTCCAATTTGGTTAACAGAACCGGCTGTCTATGCAAAACTATTACATGACCAAGGTTCGAAAGGTGGTTCACACACAGCAGTGAAGGGCAAACATCGGTTCAGATTGAAGACATTTTCAGATAATCCGACAAAAATAACTCAAGAATTTTTTTTTAAAAAAAAACATATCCATTATCCAAATATATTCCCAATCTTCGAGCTCGATCTCTCACTTCTTCTTACCAGCATCACCAGCCTTTGTCTGCAATAGACAGAGAAAGAGACAACAACACAATGAGTTTTGAAGAGGAATCCCCTTCGGTTAACCGAAACCCTAAACCCTAAACCCTTCTGAGCATTATCTTTAATATCTTAATTGTTGTTTAAAGGCAATAATCTGTAGCCCTAACATCAAAATCCAACAGGCTGACTGGCTGAGTGAGTGCATTTACTTAAGATTGCTCTACCATTTTGTTCAAGCTAAATGGCTGGTTTCAAGACCCTTTTCTAAAGCTTGCTTGAGAGTACTCTCACCTTCTTTACACCCCGTATTTTCTTGGTTCTGTTCTTCCTTTCCTTCATTTGCTTTCTTGATTTTTCCACCTTGGTGTCCAGCCCATTCTGCAATCATATTATACTTTTTAGCACAAAGTTTACAAAACTAACATTGCCTATGTTACTTACCAGTCAACACTGACATAGAGTAGAAATTCACAACCCTTTGATTAACAAGTATATACATTTATTCAGTATCCAAGTAAGTGCTCCTATTGCTACAAAGCGAGAATCGGAGAAATTGTAACCAGAAACATCAGCAGAAGCGTTTGAAAAATACGTGTCGGAGGGGAAAAAGAGAATGCTTTCATGACTACATTACTAAAGAGAAAACACACGAACAAGACAAAAAAAATCAGCCACGAGCAATTTCGAGATCATACCCTGATTAATCTGTATTTTGGCTCGTATTTCTTAGCGTTGTCAACCGAGTCATAAATCAGACCAAACCCAGTAGACTTGCCACCTCCGAAATGAGTCCTGAACTTGAACACAAAGATCGAGTTGGGGTCCTTAACTTCGTACATCCTTGCCAATTTCTCCTTCAGTTCAGCCTTCCCGGATTCAAACAATAGATTGTAAGGCATGGCAGTGGCAAATGCAACACACAAAAACTTTAAAAAACCAAAGTGAATCAATATTATAGCACAAAATTGATAGCTTTACTTTACCTTGGATACATTGGCTCTTCCAGGATGAAGAACATCAATGACCTGCATCATATACAAACCCCAAAGTGATGTTAAAGGCTTACAGCCCAAAAAAAAAACAGTGGCGAAAATTTGAGAAAAATCAGTCCCAGGATCATCCCCATCAACAGCTATTTGGTTTACGGGATAAACTCTTGTATTGCAATTACATCTCTGAACACAGAAACACAAGTTCCTGTTGCAATGGACGTTGCGATTCTTGCAAATTCGATACGAGCTCAAAACAATTACCATTTACATACACTATTTTCCCAGCAGCCAAACAGAAAACCCAGAAAACAGACATCAAAACCAATGAATCTAACAATGTGAATGAATATATAGAAGAACTTACGAATTGCTTCCTAGAGAGAAGCCTGTTTGTCATGAACTTCCTCGTTCTGATCGTCACAGCCTTGTCCGCCATCGCTGCGAAACACACGAGCTCAAAAACTCAACACTATACACAATAAAACCCCACAAACACAGAAAATAGAAGACTCGTCTTACTTCAAATCCCTTCTCCTGCAAAACGACTTGGACTCCGCCGGCGACAGGGCAAATTAGAAAGATAGCAGTATCCTTACCTAGGGTTTATCGCTTGGTTGAATTTTAACTAGCTTTAGCTCCTGTTTGGATACGGGATTAGCGTACACACGGGAGAGAAATATTATTGCTCCTCCATGGGATAACTTTCCTCCACTAAACGAACAAGCCCGCATTGACTCAATATTATTGGGCCTGGAATTTAACGCTCAAGGCCCATATTTATTTACATGGCTTTTCCTTTTTCATGATTCGCCCATTTGCAATATATTTACTATTTGAGAAAATATATACACGATCGTTTATAAGACAATAATTAAAAAAAGAGTGCGAGGAAGTTGGAATTTGAAATTATGAAAATTGTATGTTTACAAATATTAATTTATATGTTATATTTAAATTCTTATTCAAATTTAAAAAAACAAAAATAACAAATAGCTTGAAAAGAAAAACACGTAATATTATTTTAAAATGTAATACAAAGATAAAAACCTAATTCTAACAAGTACATCAGAATATTAATTTCACCATTAGAAATATTAATTCGGATATTTATTTTCAAATGTCTACGACGTCAACGGGAAGAGAAATCGCCCTATGAAGCGGAGGCAGAGCCAAACTCCCCGTACGGAAACTCTCGTCACTTTCCGGCAGGACCCAGCTCTCCGTACGGAGACTGTCACCGGAAGAACCTTCGCCTGAAACTCCATGTCCGATGATATCCCAATTCAGCGTACAAACCGACGAGGAAGATCTCCCGCCAAACACATCTTTGAAATCGGCATTCTTGTCTCTCACCCCCTTCGCCTGAAGTCTGTATCTTGTCTTGAGCCATCTCAGTTCTCGTCTGATCTCATTCTCAGATCGAGTTTTGAACTTCCTTGGATCGAGGAGAGAGCTCTGTTCTTCGTCGGCGTGATCGGAATGCGCATCTTTCAGACCCCAGATGTCTGCGTAATGGATCCTGTTCCTGTCCGGTGGGATCTCCAAGACAGGATGGCCATCGTCGACGCCTTGGTCTTGCCCTTCAACTTGGTAGATTATCTCCTCGAACCTTCCATGAACTGAAGAACCGTTAACGTCTTCGGAACACTCGAAGAGATGAGGTTTTTCTGCCGTTTGGCTGTTCGATGATACGGTATCCTGTATGTATCCATTCGAGGCACAAGTCTGGCAGTATTTTTCGAGCCGGGAACTTTCTTGGCATTCGTTGTCAGTTTTCCAACCCGGAACCAATGTAGCGATCTCTGTGTCGATCATGTGCGCGATTTTCGCGACATCTTGATTGGTTATGTCCAGTTCTGACACCATTTCTGCCGCAACGCTCCATGCTGTATCAATCGCTGGTTCGAAGGGGAAGTAAATGTTGCGGAACCGCCCTGCATATGATTAAGCTCATACCGTCAAAAGTGTAACGGAATGATCGAAAAAGATTGAAACTTTTCATCGACGGATCAGGAGGGATACTACCTTCAGAATCAGCAATTCGCAGCCTTAAGAATATCCCGTCGTCGTCTCTTTTCTTTCCCTTAATCGAAATGTCGTTGTCTTCAAGATTTTCATCACCTTGGTTGGAGAAGAGATCGATTTCGCTTACCCGAGGCTCGAAATGATCCTGGTAATGAGAACCATCCCCATGATCATAACACAAGTAACCTTCATACCCATTTCCATTCAGAAGATTTCTCGGTAACACCTCTGTTTCATCGCAACCGTTGTAGTAATCAACTGGTCTCATATCAAATCCATCCTCGTCGATCTGCAGAAAGGGATCTTGCAAAAGCTCTAAGGCCGTAAGCCTGCAAGTCACAGTGGCCAAACACTTCTCAACAAACTGGCGAATCTCGGGATCCTTCACTTGGTAAAAGGCTTCAGGCCATTTCCCCTGAAAAAGACGTTAACTTCAACTGTTTTTTCTTTCCGTTGTGATGAATCAACGACGATATCCAGACTGGTGAATTTTGAGAATAAGGGTTCATACAGAGATGACTTTCTTGTAAATCTGGGCCGGGTGAGAGCATTCGCTGTAAGGATAATCGAACGTGACCATCTCCAATACGCACATTCCGAACGAGTAGATATCGACCAGCTCGTTGTATTCTTCTTGGTATACTTCCGGAGCCATGAACTCGGGCGTTCCTAAACAAAACATAAGTTCCAAAGCCTTTCTTCTCATCTCAACAAGGCAACATATAAGAACTAAACTCTGGTAAGGCAATTCCAAGAATGGGAAAAAACCGATGTACCGACGCAACGGGCGGCATGGGATTTCCGGAGAATGGCTGCGAGGCCGAGATCTCCGATCTTGACTTCACCTTGGTTGCCATTGATGAATATGTTATCACATTTGAGGTCTCTGTGGATAATTGGAGGAGAACAGCTGTGGAGATAGTGAAGTCCTCTCAGAATCTGCCTGCACCAATGCTTCACAGCTCTGATGTTCACTCTTCTATGTCTCAGCCTATACCTGGACAACCTCGGATTAGGGTTCATCAAGATCACCCATGTAGTAAAAATCCAAACTTTGAAGATCCACGTCCGAAAAGTTTTGATCTTTACAAAACAAACCCATCAGCCAAAAGCCGATTTATTCAAAACCCACCGGGAACTTTTGGAATTCCATAATGATAGTTTAATATTTTCAGAAAAGAACAGCAAACCCATGGTAAAAAGAGTCGAGCTTTTCGAGACCCACGTCACAAATTTGACAAGTTGATGTCAGAAGAGCAAATAAAGAAACGGAAAAGACAGAGCTGGAAAACAGAAATTCGTGCAGCAAGTTGCTTACTGTCTGAGAGTGCCGGAGGTGAAGAGTTCAGTGACGAAATTGATGGACAAGTTGGAAGTATCAACCCAGGAAGTGTAGAACTTCATGATATTTGGGTGATTCAAGGTCTTGAGCAGATGAATCTCCCTGTAGAATTTCTCCAGATCCTCGGGATTCCTCATGAAATCACGCAGCTTCACCTGGTTCCACGCCACTTCGATCCCTTCATACTCGTCGAAGGCCCTGTACCTGAAATTACGACAAATCCCTCAGCCCACAGACAGAAGCTCTCAAGAATGTCCAAAATCGAGGGTTGAGAACCGATCAACGGGACCGATGTTTGGATTCAAAAACGTTAAGGAAAAGGGTACACGCTGAGAAGAAATTCGAGAAAGGGCGACCATGGACAGAAGCTTACACCGTCTTCGAAGCGCCTTTGCCGAGAATCTCATCATACTGCAGAGAATATTTCCAATGGGTAGAGTCAGAATCTTCACAGAAAATTTGAAAAAAGGTCGAATTTTTTTGTGAAATGCAAACAAAAAAGATGGATTTTCGTCAAGAAAACACCAAAAAAAAATCGGAAAAAAAGAAGTCTCACTCTGCCATATCTCCCGGTAGGATCAGCTTCTGCAAATTCAGAGCATTCCTCAAGAGGGCAATTCATCCTTCTCGATGTTTTTTTTTTCTCTCAAGGCGAAATGTCAAACAGTTTTTTGTGGGAATAGTGAAAAGAAAACGGCTTTTTTTTTTATGGAGGAGAAGAGAGAATCAGGAGGAGGAAGAAAGCAGACAAACAGGTGATAGAGAGACAACTGGTTAGGCATCTCACCCGTTCCGCTTTATCTAACCGTACCGACCGGTTCATGGATCTCCGGTTTACTCCCATTTTGTGGCCACAAGTGGAAATTCTGCCCAAACAAAAACATTTCTGCTTCGTGCAAATGAATCTCTGTATAACCATTTTCGTGACACTTCCATATTCTTGTCTCCAAATTCAACTAATCAAATCTTTTGGCTTTTTTTTTTATTGCGAATTTCGTCTAAGTTATCTAACATTTGTGGAATCCGAAAACCAAAGATGATGTTCGGCTCGTTATGCACATGAGATTCCAATACGCTAAAAGCATCATACTTTAGGACCATGTCAAAAAAAAAAAAAAATTTGTTTCCCAACAATAGTGGACGAGATGGTCAATGGAATGGAACCACAAAAAAAAATTATAATTGGAAGTAAATTTAATTTTACTACAAGATAAACTTAAAAGTTAATGTATTTTTTGACATAAAGTTAGGGATATTTTTTATAAAATTTATAAGATTTTTAGTAAAATTTTTAAATATTCCTATAATAAAATAATATTTGTCATATAATAAAATTAAGTTTATCTCACAACATTTTTTAGGTCCACAAATCCGGGTCAACTCCGGGTCAACAATATCGGTCCGGTTTAAATATGATATCAAATCCAAGAAAAAAACGAATAAATGAAAATATTGGAAGAGGGTCAACAATCTCAACTGCGATGGGACAAAAAAAAAAGAGAAAGAGCGATAATAAAATGGCCCTTTAATTTTATAAAAAAAAAAACGAGACTTTGTAATAGGTTTTATTATTATATTATATGAAATAATGATAATATAAAGTTGTCGTGTAGTGTCTAAATTTCCATGTCACGGACAGTGAAGAAGGTCACGGCATATACCCACAAGACCACGCAAAGACTCTGCTTTTTTTTTTTTTTTTTTTTTTGTCTT